GGTAGTAAAGTTGACTGTGAATTCATAAGAACAGACATTCGATTTGATAATAGAGGACTTGGAGAACTTCCAGAGTTGAACAGCATACTTGATGCTAATGTACGTCTAGATATTTGTCTTGAACCAGCAGCTCGTAATCCAGTTGCATATGCATTCTCTGTACTGCTACCGCGTTGAAGTGTTCCAGCTGGTGTGATACCATCACGCTACAAAAAAAGGAAAAATGTGAATGTAATATACGAATCAACCGCTTACAACTAACAGTATAGCTTTCATTTAATACACATGACTGTAATTTAACGAGACAGACTTTTTTCTAAGCAAGTCTCAGGCGATATTGCTCAGAGTCTATCACACTGGTGCAGAAACAATCATAACTAATTTTAGTTATATGACTCATCCCTTTATCAATACTCTATAAATTGAATGAGAGGTGCAGTAGCGACTTATATAACTAAACAGTAATAGTGTGGTGAGAGCTGTTTGCTGGCCAAAATTGTAGACAATAATTTACGTCAGTGTTACGTCTCGAATCAGGGTCATGAGAAAAATCAATAGCAAAGCTTAACTTTGAGGAACTCATCAACCAATCACAGTACACTTAACGTGTGCAAATACGATTTGCAGATATATGGCTTAACTTTCTGAGAAACGGTTACAAGCAGTACAAAATAACCTTCAGCAAGAAAACAACCAATCAGAAGAAGTCGCATCTCTGCTAACAATAACGCTAATAATAATGAACATAAAAATCTATAAATATCTCTTGATTTTCTCAATAAACGATCTGTTGCCTGGCCCTTGTCTTCTGTCGTTACACTAGTTGCCATTTTACAGGGGAAGTGAGGTGCTCTCCAGTCCCCATGACCAGCATACAGTATTACTAATTTTGACACACACACACACATAGTCTGCTAGTCGACGGCAAGACGCCTAAGTTGGTAACTGACACCTCTTCACACTGGGAATAACCAATTGGAGGAACAATGTGCATCCTCGTACAAAAGACTGTAATTCCACGTGACCGAGAAGGCACTGAGTTGGTTATAAAATCCCTACAATTTTCAATGTGCCGCGTGTTTTTGTTTTTATACTTTGCAGTGAACCGACTGAAACGGTTTTGCACAATGTCCTTCTATTTTAGAAAATCAGTGTTAACCACTTTTCCTTGTTCAAGAATAGACTACATGTATGGTCCTGTTGCAATTTCCTAATGACCAAATGAAGTAAGCGTGAACTGTTGACCCTGTGAGAGAGTTTCAATTAGTTGATCTATCTCTTAGTCTGTATCTTTTATTTCTATATCACCTGAATCAGTCAGTTAAAACGAATATTTAAAAAAATCAATGAAAAACCAGGATGATAAGATGAAACTATAGCTGGACACTAGCACAGTATAGTCAAGACAATGACAACTGGATACCATAAAAGAAGTCAACAGGTTGACGACTAACATAGCACAGAATTCGTTAGACAAAACTGAATGATTATAGCTCTGATATGTAGTGAAATGAGGTGTTACTTATATTAGAACACTCATAGCCATTCATTTCGTGAGGACTTTTCCTTCATAAAAGCAATGGCGTCTATCTAAATGCTTATCCCAGTAATCTGATAGCTTTAACTTCAGGGAAAACATAGATCAATTCAGACATGTTTTACCAATGATTGGAGAAACTTAAGCAAAATAGGATTACCTACCGTTTGGTTCATAAAATCTAAACAATTTCTAGGTAGACTGCGCACAGCACCAAGGATGTGACGGATACACTGACTTTAACCTGATGATTAACTCACAGAGAATTATCCCTCAAAGAGTAAAACTCTTCAGGGAATCATTAGAAACCAAGATGAACTAATTACAAACGACATAGTTAGTTTTCACTCCTTTTACTAACTAAATTGAAAGCCTACCACTCCAATAGTCCCCAGAAGTACAACACAGTGTGTTAGTCACTAAATCGCAAGTGTTTCTGAAATAAATCATACAAAAACCATAATTAAGGTGTCTATCTTACCGTGCCATCTGTTGAAAAATGACACACAAAAATAAGTCGAATAACGACGCGTGATCACCATCTGTGACTTATAGACGCATACATACACACACGTGTCTGTAGGAATACTACTGACCGTATCAATGAAAAAATGAACAGCAGTGCTACTTCAAACAGCTATCCTGAACAAGGACAAAATGTCAAATTTGAGAGGGAGAAAAAACAAAAACAAAACAAATATATCTGTCTGTATCATCGTGAAATTAGAAGTAGTAAAAGAAAATTCAGTCTGTCATTAGTAATGATAGTAGTGGGGGGCTATGATGATCAGCGTGAAAATATAGCAAAAACAACAATCCCAGAAATGTGAGACAAATAGTTCAGTCTTATTTGTGTGGAGACAGAGAGAATGTCACAAAAACTAGTTTATACGTGGATATCATTATGGCTTACAGAAAGTGTAATAGGTGATTTGGAAAGTGAGAAACATACGGCCATAAATTCCTGCTCTGAATCAATCGTATACCTAATTTAGTGTTACTATTCATAGAGTTTCAATATAAAGTAGAGAGGTGTGTGTGTACAGAACAGTCTTGGATATTTTCTCCATGCTAGTTTGCTACTCTTTATACACTCTTCACTTCATCAGGAGTTCGTTCCAGGATCGTTAAATCCCAAGGCGAGGATGCTAGCATTCAACGATTGTGTTACAATTCAGTATTCCTACATTTTCCGAATTATGTCTGCTAATGATATGCTGTAGCACTCTTGCAGTGTTATTCTTCATGTTTGCGTCCTCACGACCGACATAACTAGTCAGGACGCAGGAATCTCATCTTGAAATTAATTTAAAATTAATCCTGTGGAAATAAACAGTTTCGTAGATTATCCCTCGTGATGACGTACGACTTCTCATCAAGTGTACAAAGCTCAGTGCACTACCACCTCCTCTGACTATAGCTTTGTAAGCTTAAAATAACGTCGATGGAGAATGCGAATTTTCAAGTATTCGTTTGTAGGGATTCTGTTGGATTGGTTGTATGACTTCATCATGAGCTGACATTGGTTAGAGAACCATTGGAAAACCACCTGGGAGTACTGGACATTTGTTTCGTCCTAGTTTGAGACTCTTCAGCGGAACGCACCCACCTCAGGGATCGAACCCAAGACCTTATAGTTACAAGGCAAGTCTGTAAGCCACTGGGACCCAACTCGACCCAATGGCGCGGAAGGTCCCGGGTTCAAACCCTGGTCGATGCATACTGCTGAAAAGTCCCAAACTAGGACGAAACAGACGTCCAGTACTCCCTGGTGGTTTTCCAATGAATCTCTAACTGATGTCAGCTCATGATGAAATCCTCCAATCAGTCGAAGAAGGCAAATAACAAAATATCTTAACACTTTGACTAATGAAGTTTCCTCGTTAATCATAAATCATTAAAACACAAAAGAGTGCATGAAAATCTCATTGCCATATGAAGGATAGATGAAACAAACTGATTTGCAGCTTAAAAAGAACACCTAGGCCAATAGAGTTCGTTCGTTGATGGGAATAAAAACACTGCAATTTTCGAAATCCGCGAATATAAAAACTAATAACAACAACAACAACTGAAGAGTCACTTTCATTCTATCCTCAAGAGAATAATAATTTATGCAGTTTTATGAAATTTATCTCATTTAATCTAAAAACTAAACTGGGTTTGTAAACTTCTAACTACTGACTTCTAATATCTAACACTATGCAAAATTTACTTTAATGTGAAATAGATTTCAATCAAGACGAAACTATCCTTCAGATGATAATAGGACTTTTGAGAAAAGAGTTTTCGAATACAAGGCGTCGGCTAGTATTCAAATGTACCTAGGATTTATCGTCCAGACAAATTTAGGAACATGTGAAAGGAAAAGATTGTTTATCAGCGTTTCAAATCACCCAGGGAAAGCAAACTATTTAAACTGTACACGAACCATCAAGATATGTGGTTGTGCTTAGTCTACAGCTGACTTCTTAAGGCTGAACTTCGCACAAAATTCCAGCAGTCCAAGTTGCCACACGTTAGAAAATCACATACAATTTAGAGTAAACAAAGTGTGATGAAACTGCAGTGGACTGAGACGTACACGAGATAGAGAATAATTAGATAAGCACTAAGGAGAATACTCGGAAACTGAAAGGCCTGAAGGAGTGAACTCATCTGTACCATTAAGGACAACTTCGAGGCAAGTCGCCAACAGTTTTCAATCAACAATTGTCAATACACTGCAGTCTAAACCTCTGTATGTGGCTCAAACCAATAGTTCAAAGTTTAATGGATTGGTGTTATGTTTAATTTTGGCTGACCTTAACTGTTTTCCAGCCTAGTCCTATTTCAGCTAACATTGTTCATTTAGGAAAGTGGTGGCTCGGTATACGTAATACACGACCTAGCTATCCCAATCGGTAGAGACTAACAACATTATCGATTAACTTTAGCTCCTTACCTAATACTGTATGCCTGACTCTCACTTTTACTGATATGTTACACAATCTAAAACGACAAACTACTTTCAAAGGTCAAGTTTCCAAGCTGTATGTAATACAGGACGGAGAAAACTGCTGCATATTGCACATGTCATTTGACGGATAGACGAATATCACTCCTATATACCAAATATGACGCCAGTTGACCCCTCTGTGTCCGCGTTGTAATTTCCTCAGTAGCCAGTCTATTCTGGCTGATATGACTTCCAAAAATAAGTGTGATGGTCAACATATTCAACAATTCCACTCTTCATCCTTAGACTACGCGTTGCGTTAGTGCAGACCAGTTCTTTAGATTTATTTCACTTTTCATAGGGAAAACTGAATGCTAGACATATTTGCTCAAAGTGTTCGGGAGACTCCGAAATTTTTTCAGTGTCTCCATTTAGGTGAACTATTTCAATGAGGCTCATCTCTGGTAGCAAGCCAAGTCAACCAGGGTTACATCCAACAGTAGATTTATAATTAAAATAAGAATGGTGACTGTGGACAGTGTTGATGGACACCCCCATTGGACACTCATTGTTCTCACTTCAGATTAGAACTCTCCATAAGTTCTTGTACAAATGTATTAGTGTCTTCATTAGTACTAAAACACTTTTACGGTACACGTTTGTTCACTGGTTTCCGTTTAGGCATAAAACAGTCCTATTGGTATGTACAACAAAGGCTTCACTGCCACATAGACTGAAGATATGTTCAACTGACAGATAAGATTTTGACTAACATTAAAAATACCTTTTCAATCCCTCCACACACACACACACACCGCCCATCAATAAAATTCGAACCAACACCAATGCAATGTCCAGTCTTCCTATAAAAATACTGTGATCTTAACAACTGACTGTTACTCCCTTCGTCGTCCATGCCTAATGGTGGCAGGTCAAGTGTGCACGTCTTGTGAATGAGTACCAACATGCATAGAAACTGTACTACTGAAGGGTCTTCTGTCTAATATATCCCTGAAATTCAAAAGCAAAAATGTATACTATACTATCACATCACTTCGATCAGTAGTGACATTGCTAACTGTAGATTTTAGTCAACAGTGTAAAACTAGCGGTCAAGTCGTACAAATGAAACGTCTACTGGGATTTCAAGTCATTCCACCTATTATAAGGAATACAAAGACCAGTTAATACATATACATATGCGAAAAATTCACTTTTCATGAAGTAAAATATTATCATTTATAATGCAATAGTGCACTAGCTATGCACACCTGAGTTAAAGGGCGTAGTGTTTCACGTGATTTTGACCTTGGATACATTTTATTTCGACGTCCAATCGACGATGTCAGTGTAGATGACGCCATACTATCACTTCTTCCCAGGGTAGAATATTGTTCAGTTGAATTATCATAGGCTATAGCAAGCCGATCACTTTCATATGCCACTGTATCAGTTAATCCTTGAAGCATATCAGAACGTCGAAGTGGTGGAGTTTGATAAAAGACAGCTGCATTCGCTGAAACACGATGAGAATAACGTGGGATTGTACCAGCGGATGGAAGTTGTGATGATATTTCGTTTAAATTAGATCTCTCAGTGGACTGATACGCTCGACTAGATTCAGATGACTTGCTAATAGTGTAAAAGAACACAGATGAATGATGATCACCATAAGAAGAATAACAGAGCCAGTGTATGTGTGTGTGTGGGTTTAATACAAGGTGAGAATAGGTATGATTGTTTGTCTATATGTGAGTTAACATAACTTATTGGTTGGGTTAATTATGCGCACACGCACACACTTGTGAATTAGATAGAAGCAATGTGCAGGAATAGTTCACATGCCCACATACACAGACACTCTATTACAAAAAGGAACACAATTAAACAATAAATTATACCACCCTTAAAAAGAACGAAGTATACACACAAATCAATCTATGGAGTTTGGATGAAGTTCGGTTAAAGCGCAGCAGCATTTTAAGTAAGTTCAATATGACAGCCCAACCGTATTCCGAATAATAAAAAACAAACAAGCACAAATCAAAGCAGGATAAGGGGATGGGAAAAGGCAGTCAGTATTAGAAGGACATAAAATCATTTGACAGAAGACGATAGAATGAGAAGCACTGAGTGGCTAGCGAGAAAATTTGTTAGTTAATCTTATCCATTGAAAAATGTAGACAAAACCAATATTAATCATTAAGTGAAACCTTTAAACATCTGACACCAACCTGCTCTTCACTTAAACAAATCACTTCGTTGCTTATCGCTTTAAAACAATTAATAGTCGATAAAACACCAGTAACCTCACCTCATTTTCAACAGATCCACGGTCTGTTTCATTTAAACTTGTTCCAGTTGGTCGGTTAGATCGTCGAAAAGCACCTAGTTTAGTGCACGACCGAGAATGTTTCCCTGTTGCTGAAGTACCGCCAGAAATTGAAGCACCTGGGCCCGTGTGTGTCGATGATGCTGCTCCTGTTATCCCACTGGCTGATATGGCATTTCGTGGTATAGGAATCGCTGGAGAATGACTATATACATATACGTATAATGAATGGGATTATCAAAACATCTGTGCAACAATTCATATGCTATACGTGTTTAAAAATAACCGTCATGCAGGCATAAAATATGAAATACAGTATGTGTGAGTGTCTGCCCAACAGTATCCCAAATGACCTTCTAAAGTCAATTTCTTACAGTAATCAATCTCAACAGCCATGACATAACTAATAGTCACTTCCATTGAAACAGCATGCGATCGTGGAAATCCTTACGTTGCCTAACGAATATGCAGAACTATTGTAGAACTAGTAAACCGCAAAGTGAATTCAGCAAAAACGGATGTACTACCTGCCTGTTGATAACCATATATTGTATTGTCATCGACATATGTTGGCGAAGAGCCAGTAACACTTATGGGAAAATTAAAATGCCTAAATTGGAAGTAAGTTCCCTAACTTCAGCGAAAATTCACTTGATGTCATGGCTCAGAAGGCTACCAGTCTACTAGACTGACTTTTAGTGAGTGTCCTTTAAGTTCTCCAAATTAAGTTTCCGATCGATGGGGTTGTGGTCGACCATCTTTTCAAATAAAATCTCCTAAACGGAACTGAGAAGGTATTCATTATTCCAGCAAGTCTACCCTTAAGGATCACACTCTTTGATAGCTAACTCATTCAAACTTGTGTTTCCGAGATACAAGAGGTGGTTACTTTCCCCTCATTGTGTTGATTGTCTGGTGCATATGATACAGTTTGTTGTGTGTATAAAAATTCGTTCTTTCATCCCATTTGTGTCAATAACCTTAAAAGTGTAAGATGTAAATCATCTCTGAGTCACACCAGTATCGAAAGATGGTTGTTGTTAGCCTTCCATAATAGTAGTGCATGAGTGGACTAACTATATGTTCGAGACTGAATGTTGTCTGATTGACAGTGGATGATTTATGTAAAAGCTATGCATCTTTTGGAAAGCAATAAGAGCTATATTTTCCTATCACATATTTATTATGCTTGGTAAAGGTCGCTTATGAAGTATCAGGAAGGAATGGATGCGACGACTAGAGGTATAGTTCAATTCATCTAACGCCCTCCAACATCCTTAATCACAGGAGAAATATGTCAACATGGGGGAGATTAATGTAAGACTACCTATTACGCAGAAACGATGCTAAAACTCTTTTAAAATAGGTGGTTTTCTGTTCCCTTCAAGTCAAGCTATGAAAATAAATCCTTGCCCAATATTGTTTCAATCAGAAAAGCATTTTTAGCAGAAATGGATTATGTTACTGCATGAATCGTAGCATGCACAAATGACAGGTGGATTTCAAAAAGAAGAAAAAAAACACACCTCTAAGTCATAGTAGTAACAGCCGAACACACCAGTGACCGTCTCTACTCTCCACCCCCCCCCCTTGACTCCCATGCACACCATTTTCTGAAACCACCATGTAATTTGAGAAGGAGGATTTTACCGATAGGGAAACCAGTTAGATTGATGTTAGCATGCATTAGACTGCATTATAAAAATTAGTTGGGTGAGAAATTTCATACTGTGTCGAATATTAATCAAAGCATATGTTGTTAAAAGATCATGCATTTGTGGGAAAATTTGTTTTTAATAAAATTAGAATGATAAGTGTGAAAGTAGATGATATATATATAACAAAACACCATGATAATGATAATGATAATGGACTGATAATGATTGCATGATGGTTAAGATGACGGTGAGAAATACAACATCACCACAAAAACAAAAATAACAAAAAAAAACAAAAACACAACGAACAAACACTAGTTAATCATTGCATAGCGAACTTACTCCCTACGAAAATGTACTCGTTGAACACCTAAATGTGGAACTGTACCGCCTATACCAGGCTGTGCAGTAGACAAAGTCATATAACGTGTCTCCCAATCTTCACCGGTAGCTTGTTGAACCATGCCGTAGTATACAATCTAAAGTAACCAAAAATAGCAATAACAACAGAAAGAAGAAGGAGACGAATAAGCAGGGGATTGATACTGAAATAAAAACACCTTAAGAAAGTGGTACTCGATTAGAACAAGTACCAAACAAATCAACACTTGCAAATAAGTCTAGTACTCACTAGTCACTAGCTACAGGATGAAGTTCTAGTGGAAAGCTGTGACTAGTTGGGTCGGTCCACCAAGGTGTATGTGAGGACAAATACCCGCCAATGACATCGCCTGACAGTCACTATATGTATACATACTGCAAATTGACGAAACTTAGAATTGATGAACCGTTAGACTGCGTTCCAGTAGCTGAATGGTGGTCAACGAGCTTGCCTTGTAACCTGAAGGTCCTGGATTCAATCCCTGTTTGAGTCATGGATGTATACTGCTGAATAGTCCCAAAGTAGTACGAAACAGCTGTCCAATAGTTCTCTGAATGAAGTCAGTTTGTGATGAATAACAAAATATTCAATCCAAAAGCCGTCACTTTGATTGGACACTAGTAACTAGTGTGATGTGTCTAGTCCTTTGTTTGGTGCAGACTGAATTCTATCAGAAGAGACATGAGGTCCTTCAACGTTGCAGATACACCTTACTGACGAGTACCAACTAGCACGATACCTAGGTCCAAGGTTCCCAACCATTTAATATCAAAAGCCGTCACTAATAATCATATCTTTTTTTCTGGAAGATGATAGAATTCTAACTATTTTGCAGTCTTCTGAACAGATAGTCTCCAAGGTGTTCATATCGGTAGTCGAAATCAGAAACAGAACATTACTGTATACTAAAAAAACACTGAATGTTTCGGTTTCAAAGTCGACATAGCTTCTACCTTAGAGTCATACTGGGCACTGATGACAGCTTGACAATCAGATCAATAACAGGCAGAAGAACATGGAAGTTCCCGCACAAAAACTGAAGGTCGCTGAAACATAGAGATGGTAAGATACACTGTGTATGAAGTAACAATCACATTCATACAATACACAAACCTTGAAAGCATTTCTTCTCTTTGTGATGAATTCAAAGTAAAAAACTAATGAAGAGAAACAATATTTTTTTTATAAATTCATATTACAATTCAAATGTGTCTACTTCAGCATCCTCTTTACAAATTCAGACTGTCAAAATTCCTGATCTTAAAAGTGAAGTAACTGATGGTGACATTACTATATCCGGTCACAGAAAGTTGACATGAGCAAACATCTTTTTTCTAGAAAACTAAATGTCTTCATATCGACTATTCTTTGAAACATAAATGGGCCATTGGATCGGGTCCCAGTGGCTTAATGGTCTACGAGCTCGTCCTGTCACCAGAAGGTCCTGGGCTCGAACCCTAGCGGTTGATGCGTACCGATGAAGAGCCCCAGACTGGGACGAAACAGCTGTCCAGTACTCCCAGGTGGTTTTCCAATAGTTCTCTAACCGATGTCAGCTCATGATGAAGCCATTCAACCAATCAAACAGAATCCCTACAAACGAATACTTGAATATAAATGATATTTAGTCATTTCTACTGTTTATCAGCTTGATGCACTCGGGTTCATTTCCACTGAAGACTGTGACTTGGCTTTAGTCTCTTTACAAGACAAGAAATTAACCGTGAACAGATCAAGTTATACCGAGGTATCTGCTGTGCTAAGAATAAAGTTGTGATTAGAGCTCATAAACTCCCCATTGGTGGTATATAAATCTTGTATCCGAAGTGTAATTGTTGGAGGATGAAAGACAAAAAATTCCTGAAACTGCAACACAAATTTTTAGAGCAGAAAATATGGTTTCTCAACAGTAGAACAAGCCTACAAAATCAAGTACACAAAAGTCTTCTCCTTATGCTAATATTTATTTTACAATCTCAAGAATATTACCAGAAATAAGTGCATTCGTATTTGCCCACCTTACGTTTTGGGAATATTCAACTGATGATAGTGTTTTAAATGACAATGATTTTCTACTGGATTATGATTAAATATTGGTACTATCTCAGTAGGAAGACAAAAAATCTAGTGCAGAGATTCCCTGTCGCATAACTAATCCATACTTAAGGATAAAATAGCAGTTATAAACTGATAAGAGGATACACAAATAAAAAAAATGAAGCAATAAAACAGGGCCAAGTTAAACTTTAAGCACCACTAACTACCAATCAGCGAATGACCTTGAATCGTTCAATAAATTTCGCCCACTTAAGTTGAAGGTTCTATTCCACTTGATTCGAGACAAATGCCTGCTCTAACGCAGTTGCTCTTGCAATTTGGTCAGGATAAGGTTTTCCAGTATGGCTTGGATGTGGAGTTTATTAAGAAAGAAGCGATTTGTCCATGCGGAGGTTTCATGAGTGTAAAAAGCTTCACTGGGTCGGTTGATGGATATGTCCATCGTTGTGCAGTCTTTTTAAGACGATTTAGTATTAGGGAAGGTAAGCTGATGACTCCAATATTTCGTGGGAACATTTTTTGCCAGGTCCCACTTGTCCTTAACTCAGATTTTGTATATTTGTAATTACTGGGTTTTAAAAGAGTCTGTGAGCGGTGCATCTGCTGAAACTTAGAATAGTCTCACATCTCATATCCCAGCACTGTAGGGATATTGCATCCTGGAAGATGGAGAGGCTTACTACCTTATCGGGAGGAGAAGGTGTCATCGGACATGTAGATGAAACTGTCTTACTAAAGAAAAAATACCACTGTGATAGAGAACAGGGACCCAAACCAATTCTAGAGAAGAGTTTTGGTGAAGGTTTAAAAAACAGGATTAAAGTCATCAATGGATCACAAAGGGATGACATTTATAGTCATTTAGATGAATTTATGTATAGGATGTGGTGTAACTTTTCAATTGATACTCCTATGCTAAACTGGGAGATGTTTTTATGATATGTGAAAGAAAGGTATCCTATGTAACAGTTTTATACAGTTTTAATGCATTTTTTTCATAAATATACGTAATCGATAATCAAAAATACCCCCTTCATGTGATTGGTGCGTTCAAGATCATTCGCTGATTGGTAGTTAGTGGTGCTTAACAGATATCATTGTTACTGCAGCCTAGTTTTACAAATGCATTAGCCAAAAAAAAAATAAAAATAATCGGGGAACTTGCTTTCATTGTTCCATCATTATTGAAAATACGAATATCATAGGCTGGCTTCCATCCACATCGACCAACCACATACGATACAAGCATCTCTACTTGACCAGTTTCCCTTGGTTCAACAAGTACACTTAGTTCTCTGGAAGTGAAAAAGAAGAAACATGAAGTTATTCACAGTCAAAATTAAAATTCATTTCAAGTGTTGGTTTGTAGGGATTTGATTGGTTACAGGATTTTCATCATGAGCTGACATTCGTTAGAGAACCATTGGAAAACCTGGGAGTACTGGACAGCTGTTTCGTCCTAGTTTGGAACTCTTCAGCAGTACGCACCCACCGGGATTCGAGTCCCAGTGGCTCAATGGTCTACGAGCTCGCCTTGTAACCAGGAGGTCCTGGGTTCGAATCCCGGTGGGTGCGTTCTGATGAAGAGTCCAAAACTAGGAGGAAACAGCTGTCCAGTACTCCCAGGTTTTCCAATGGTCCTCTAACTGATGTCAGCTCATGATGAAAATCCTGTAATATTCATTTCTTTCGGTTCTGTGGGGATTTGAATTAACTGCAGTTTATAATTCATTATGAAGCCACATCAGTTAGAGAATCATTGAAAACTAGTAGATACTGGACTCTTCAGCAGTATGCATCCATGAACCTAACGGAGATCGGACGCAAGACTTTCAGGTTATGAGTCCAGGTCCGATGGCCATTCAGCTATTAGGATAGAATTAAATGACCAATGCATTCTAACTTCTGACGAGAGCGTAAGGAAGTGACGCAGTGAGCTAAAGCTGTGCAGAAGTGTGAATTATGCACAAACCATCGTTTACAATGCAAACTTACAGTTTTCGCGAAGTATCCTACACACTGAGCGACGTACACCTGAAAAACTTCAGTGTATATTTTTAATTGGCATTCAGAAAACATAAGGCCGCATGCAATATGAATTCAGATGATCCTTTAAACTATAGCTTTCATAGTCTATGCGTCTACTAAAGCATTTTCCACAGACTAGTGTGGACTTTCATCAACGCCAGGGCCCTTCAATGCTGAGGATTTGATGGCTAGCCACAAAGGATAAGCAAGGTACTTTGGCAGGTCATGAACCACTCAACAATCTATTCCCCAACCAATAAATGGAGATGGATTGGATATACACTTACAGAAAGGTCATTGAACAGGACTCAAAAGGGAACTGACTAGTTAGGCGATCGAGAGTGACATGGAAGAGATCATCTAAGTTGTAAATGACAGCTTATGGGCAGTTGCGCAGCCAACTAAGAAAAATGACAGAGAACAGAGTACAATGGAAATGTGTCGCTGAAGCCACTAAGAACACAAGGAACGAATAAGTGCACAGTTTAAACCAATAACCAGCTGAGAAATATAAAAATAACATCAGGGAAATATTCCCCATATTTTGACTGGACACCAGTTAGTAACTAGTGTAATATGTCTAGTCCTTTGTTTTGTGCAGACTGACTCCTATCAGTCAAGCTTGTAATGTGGCCAGTACACCACTAGGTGGGTCGCCATCACGGTGCACTGCGGACTGTTGATATTACAGCCTGAATAGCGCAGTAGTAACGTCTCTCACTACATCACTGGGTGACGCGGGTTTGAATCTCAGAAGGGACATGAGTTCCTTCAAGGTTGAAGATGCGCCTTGCTGACGAGTGCAGACTAGCATGAAGCCTAGGTGCAAGGCTTCTTGAAGATTGCCTCCAGTCAAGTAATATCAACGATTCCCCATATTTATTTATTTCTTAAGCAATATTTCTATATTTCTACACTTTGAAAAAAATAGTAAAAGTTTCTTAAGAAAAGAACTACCCTAACTATGCTACAGAGACTGAATCTCTATCACTAGAAGTTCACTATGATTCTCCTCGAAATATTTAAGCCACTATTTTAGGCAATTGTAAATCTCCCTCGTTGTTTGAAAACTCTCGACCGGGAGACTGAGAGTGGCGTTAATTTTAAACAATGGCCGATTTGACCAAAACATATTTGTACAAATATTGATTCGCCTAGATGAGACAGTTTTTACGCATCAAATTAACTGAGTAGTGAACTGGTGATGCTACGGCTACTTCGATTAATCATTTGAATTAAGAAGATACAAAGAAAGCATATTCTCCTCATCACTGCTTCAATTGTATCTATCTGATGACCGAAAAAGAAAATAAGGCAATCACGTATACCTATCTACCTACCTACCTACCCACCTAATCAGGGATTAGAGAAAAATATGTCTACTCTCTAGTAAACAACAAGTGACTCATGCAGTTCATCGATCAATCATATAGATAGAAATATCCAGCATGGTGAAGCTGTACTGGAAGCATGACTATGTTAATTTACTACACACACCTACATATATATATATATATATATATGAACACTATGCGGATATTCCTGTGGGCAAAATAAGCATAATTAGATAGATACAATAAATTGTATTAGCATTTCTATGTCGATAAGCAAATAGACAGAAGAGAACGGCGACTGTAGCCCTGACTCACTGAATGGCCAATCACATTCAAGCATTGTTATGGTATATGTAGGAGAAAATCAATAAGTCAGCGTCAAATAAATTAGATTATTGCCACTCTCTCTCTCTCGCTCGCTCACTCACTCACTCACTCCTTTTCCAACATTTTAATCCGTAATAACCATAGGCAGCAGCATACAGTCGAATTTAAAATTGAAGGAAAGAGAAAGGTGATGAACGAAAACACAAATAAATAGTGAGAAATAATACATTTTTCCCTACTCTGTATCTCTCTCTCTCTCCCTCTGAGGTGGTAGGCATTCTCAGCTGAAGTTAACCACGGCAGTTGACATATATTGCATTCATGTATTTTATATTCAGTAGAGAGTCTATAAAAAGTAATTCTGATAAATAACAATGTACACTACTAAAACGACAAGTTATGAGTGATATTCGATAACAAAGTGTATTAATTAAATTATTTACTTATTGTCAACTTTAAATTAGCTCAATCACTTATGTACTTGATCAATGTGTTCAATATACACGTTAATTAATATTTTGACTTGTATGATAATACTAAAAGTAAACACCTGGTATGCAAGCGAAAAGTAAAACTAATTATTAGACACTTCTTTATTTAGTAGAAGTAAACAACATAACATTTGTGTGTAAAAAAAATCTTGAGCATTCCTGTCAGTATGTATACTTCATAATAATTTGTATATCGGATACATTGCTGGACGACGATTCGAACACAATCTATTGTTTTTACGAGTTGATCACGGATTGATATCAGTTAGAGAACCATTGAAAACCAGGGAGTACTGGACAGCTGTTTCATCCCAGTTTAGGAATCATCGGCAGTACGCACCCACCACCAATGTTCGAACCCAGGACCTTCCGGTTACAAGGCAAGCCCGTATACCATTCAGCCACTGGGACCCGATTCAATGGCTCATGAATTCTAACTTCTACCAATTCGTGATTTAGCGCGACCCCAATTGTTCCTTCTCATTTGTCAAAGGGGTAGCATCTTCCTGATGTTCTGGACAAGTGTTTAAGCATTCCTGTTGCATGCGTTCTCCGTTGATTCTGTAAATAAAGCTTCAATTATCCGTCTCTCCTTCGACCCTGTGACATTAGACTTTAAGACTACCTCCCTAACACATTCGATTGTATGGTTGTGTGTGTGACCACATTTAGTACTGAGTTTTTTTCCTGTCTGAATGACTTATTTTGCTAGGGTTATCTAACTTACTTTTCGCTAGGTTTTTGTGCACCACCAGTCTAACTGTGAATCCGAGCAACTACTTTGAATTGTATGCATTCAACCTGACAAACAACTCAAAGGTGTTAGATAAAACTAAATTATTGTGTTTAACACAGAATCCTTGAACCGATATAGTTTATTTCTAAGTGAGTTTGTTAGTTTCGGGCGTGTTAAGAATCCTACATTACACAACTAAACATAACATTGGGCTACAGTTGCAGGGAGATTCAGTTGAGCGATGGCAAATGACTAGTCCTTGAAAAAATAACGGCGTGTCAATTCCCAAAGTTGGTTAGACGAATCCCCAGTATCCTATTTTACGAGTATATATTTATACAAAAACTTAATGCAACAAAATTTTGTTTAACAGTGTGTAGAAATGCTTATCCATAACTCAGATTTATGCTACAGTTGAATGTGTGAACATGAGTCTTTATTCATAGTTAACAATCTTTTTGAGAAGTTTGAAACGTGACTACCATGTGTTTTGAATCAGTGGAAATATATGGGGGTAATTGAAATATTAGGATTTGCTAAAGGGATTTTTATCACTCAAATGATACGATAGAAGGTAAAAAAGTTTCAAAAACAATATTCACCACAGTCTGGGAAAAATAAAGAAGATAGAGGTGATGGAGACGCCCAACAGACAGAGAGCACTAATCACCATCAAGGCGAGAAATTTCAAGGAAGTCGCCTATCTGGATAGTGTTATTAGAAGACAGAGATTATCTGAAATATGTGATGTGTTTGTGCAATACGTTCATTTCAAATAATCTGACGACTCACTTACTGGTCAAGTCAATTTATGCGGGAAATAAAAGCCAATTAAAACAAACAAAATGACAAAGGATTTAAGAATAAGATTAGTAAGAATGGAGAAAGAACGAACATGTTTGTAGGATAATACGAGCTCGTTTCATTTCGTGGATACTCATCAACTGCATACATCCTATGCATACATGCATACATCCTAAACAAAATCAAATTACAAGTTTCAAAAAAGTTTTGGAACATACTTTTTTTCAGAATTACTTGGAGTTATAGATAGAAGGTATAAGGAACATAATCCAAGAATTTGATGTAGGTAGACAGATTATTCAGTGTCAAAAAACAAATAACTATATATAGTGGAATTAGATAAGAGAGGTTAGAGTTCAGATTTCTATTGGAAAAACACAGACTGGTTAGAGGCATAATACAGGGTCAGGGGTAGAGAACAGAGTGAATTTACACATCTTGTGGTGGAGAGTTTAAGAGGTGCATTAAAAAGAACGTTTCCAGCCGCCAGACTGATCCTATTTCACAAAACTGTGTGTTCGTTAACCCAGTCAAAAGTAGATGAGTACCCTGCTCACGTCAACTCCAATTGCATT